ATATGCCGATTTACGAAGAGACTTTGGGTGATGGCGTTGGCTTTTCGACTCGGTGGCGGAGAAAGGGTAGCCGACCCCTTTGAAATTTTTGAGGGCTCGGCGTACTTAGTCTTTTCGTGCGCTACTTTGTTGATTTGTAGAACTTGACTTTGTGTTGTTGTTTTTTGTATTTTTTGCAGTAATCTATCCTTTCCCACTGATCCCCCGTGATTCGCGTTTGTTTCACAAAGCCCTTGTATATCGGAAGTGTCATTGGGAGAGGCATTTTTTTAGGCGCGTCGAGAGAGCATGAGCTCTTTGAGGAAGACTTTCAGTTTTGAGTTCATCAGCGAGTTCTTCAGAGTACGAGATGGTGACTTGGAGAGATAGAGAGAGGCAGGCTGCAAAGGCCAAGGAGGCCGCGGAGGCTAACTTGGCGAGGTCTCCTGGCGATGCAACAGGTGGGAAGAAGCCGACTGGGAAGGGTGCTGGCCCTTCCTTTATGCCAAGCTCTGTTCATGTGGTGAAGCCCTTCGCGATTCTGAAGCCGGTGCGAAGGTCTAACGCGGCACCTTCTCTTGGACATGTGCTTGCTCTTGGACGCGTTGAAAAGACTGCTAAAACTAGCACGGGCCAAAAGAGAGGGAGTAACAAGGGCCGGCAAACCGATGGTTCTGATTAGGATAGACACTTGTCGCTAGAGTGACCCATTTCACTTGACACTGGAGCATTCTGCCGAATACTGCTGCTTCTTGCCGACTGTTGCTGCTTCCGCCGACCACTGTCACTGCCGACCACTGCCTTGCCGACAACATCCTTGTCGACGACGTCACCTGGAGCGCTCGACAGCTCACCGATGAGGATTGGTTTAGTCTACTTGGTATGTTATGCGAGATTGGGCTGAGAATAGTAAGCCCAAAACGACAATGGGATGACGAGGCAGCAAGGTCAGGCCCAAAATGACGAAGCTGTGTCAAACGCCGACTACGATAAATGGAAATCCTGACAAATAAGGAAACTTTTTGGATTTACTTATCCGACTTTTGACTTGTATACATACTCTTGTAACTCCTTTGTAAGGGGGATCCGCAGCTTTTACGCAGAAACACTTAGCAAAAATCAATAAAAGTTTTCTTAACGCAATTTTTGTGTTTTTGTGTTTGTTCTTTATTGTTCTTGTGATTCTTTCCCAAAGATCCCGTTTCGCTTAAAACCCTTGACAAATTCAATTGAGTTGGTTTTCGACCTCCACAGTCATAGGGCTAACCGGTACGTGCAAACACTTAGAGTCCGAAGGGTATTTCTCGGCTCCAAGCTGGTCCTTAGCTACGAGCAGTTCTTTAGTTATTTGTCCCGAACCTCCATGTCCCGAGCTAGCCATGATCTTATCATAGCCCAAACGTACATTATATAGTCCGGTATTGGTATAGTGCCAACAATACCCATCTGGCGTCCCCACCTGAGGGGACGTAAGGTAAGTATTACTGAAATGTTCTCTGGTGCTATACATTGTCGGATGGTCTGAAGGTTCAAGTAAACGCGCATAATGCTTGAAAAATAAAATAAATTGATATTTCATACTCAAACTAAAGAGTTATGTAAAATTTATACTCGAAGTATACTATTGTGCGAATACATACCTCAACTAAATATAAAATCAATTTTACTATCAATACTTTTAATATTGTGCAAAGATATACATTTTGCATCACATAAATATAAACAACTTTGTTTTATATAATGAAAAATAAATAAGCGAAGCAAAGTTATACACATTAAACAGAGAAAAAATTAAGGGGTTTATATTTGTGTTTCTAGGATTTAGAATTGGCAATCAAAAAATATTAAGAGAAATTAATGTGGAATGAGTATTGGGATCAAATCATTCTAGGGAAGGATGAGGCACAACATGCAAAGTGTTTGATAGAATTTTGAGAGAGAATTTCTTATCATATTTCTTGATAAATATGTATTATTATTTATGGTTTGGAATAATAGAAATCCAATAGATCTTGATTAAATCCGATATACCTTGTATATAAAATCATTGATTCAACAAAACTTTTTTCCAGTGAGTAGGTTGATGGAACTGATTTTGAGTTAGTATAATTATCTCAATAATCTTTCAAATGCGTTGAGAAAAAAGAAGAAGAAAGAGACGAAATTAATTTTATTTTATAAAACAAAATCGTTTCGGTTTCTTTTCTTCTTAATTGCTTGTTTCAAACAAAATAATATCTTTTTATAAGTGATGTCTATGACATAAGAAGTTAACTATTTTTTAACATTGTGATAGTAAATGTATGATTTTGCACTATACTGGGAGTTTAGTTAGTAAATTTTATTTTCTATTTAGTTTGGGTATGTATTCGCACAATAGTATATTTCAGATATAAATTGAACATAATTTTTTACTTAAGGTATGAAATAACCCATGTTCAAGAAAGCGCTAGGCGCTAAGCGGGCGGTGACCCAACGCCTAGTGCCTAGAACGCCTAATCGGAACCTAGAAGATTTAATAGGTGGTCTAAGCGTCTTACAAATATATATAATGAATTAGATATATAGAGGAAAATATATAAAAAACCAACATTTATAAATAATAAAATTTATATTGTATTTATATCCATTATTTTATAGTAAAATAAATAGAATATTACGATTTATATATAAAAAGTTTATATTATTTTATTATTGTAATACCTTAATATTTTAGGTTGCATAGGCGGTAATCTCCACAGTCTGTGGGGGCCAAGCGCCTAAACACCGCTTTGGAGAACGGTTAGAACGCTTTTTAGAACACTGGAAATAACTAATTTTGTTTCACACGTGACATCCACGTCATCACAATTTAACGGAATTTTAAATATGGTCAAGGGATGAATGTACACATAATTAAAAGCTTAAGTTGGTAAATTTAATTTTTTTTCTTCAATGAGGTATGTTTTAGTACGATGGTATACTTTAGGTATGAATGGAACATATCACCATACTTGGGGTATGAAATAACCGACTTTCCCACTCATGTTAAATTAAATCGTTTACACTCTCCTCGTCAAAGTACGGTCAATTTCTTGGGACACAAATTTGGAACGTTTAAAAATTTAAACTAGTTGGGGATGGTACAAATATTTGGTTTCTGTCTCAACTACCCCATTTCAATGCAATGGTCTCCAGTCTGAACAAAACCCACATCATAGTCACTATGCATAATAGGATTGAGTTTAACCAAGGCGACTAGAAAAAATGATTATAACTTGGAGATGAAATGCAAGATTTAACATATCAATTCCAAATTTATATTTAGATAGTAGCGATCAACTTCTTAACTTACGTAAAAGTTTCCTAAAAGCATTTCTAATTTTAAACCACAAACAAGTTCCATTACTTAGCAAAGCTACTCCTAGCGAGATAAAAGTGGGAGAAAAAAGTCAACAAGCAGTGGTCCAGACTTAGTGTCCAAAGCCACTGTGACTAATGTATCCTTCTTGTTCTTGTGGTACATCTTCACAGTCGCAATAGGTTGCTCTCCAGTTATCCTCTTCATTGCAACTATCATCACTTCTACAAGTCCTACATAGCGCGTTTCATCAGATGACCTGCCAATGTAAATTCCCTGCCACAACAAAAATTAACAAGATTAGATCAAATTCTTTGTAAAGTTTTAAATTTTTTGAAGTAAGAGCACTTTACGTTTTCTCCAACATGATCATCAAGCTCCGGACTGAACACATGCAGCTTTGCTCCTATCGGTTGCTGCACCATGAAGATTATTGCTTCATTCAAATCCTCAGGTTCAATCACTTTTCCTTTCATGTAAACGCGAGCAGGGTTATAAGCAGATGGGGGCTTTGAAAGACATCCCAAATGTGTCCAATCATCTTCTTTCGGTATCCCTTCTTTGAAAACAAACTCAAGACAATCTTTGGCAGTAAGCTTGGAGGAGTCACGGTCTGTTTCTCCTTGTCCAGCTTCCTTCTTGGAACAAGCATTGTCCAACAGATACTGAGCAGAATAGTTAGTATACGCCTTGTCCATCTTAAGTATTAACCGCACATGGCTTAGCAAATTGACAGCTACCGCAGCCGCAGCTGCAAGACAAAAGTTTTCAAAGATAAATGCAGTCAAATTCATTTTCTTCTTGCAACCGATTAAATCAGTATTGACCAAAGGAAAGAAAGAACTTTCTCAGTGATAATTTACCATAATCTTGGTCAAAGACGTGAGCCATATGCAGTTACTTGTCCCTGAATGTATAAGAAATTTACAATGCTCAACACCACATTTCGAATGTAAGCACAAAAAGGAAAGAAAAGTTCAGAAGCAAACCAATATGAAACTATGCTTCTCAAATTCTTTTACTCAGAGGCATTAATGAGGTAAAGGAAAAAATAAGAGAATGTAGAGACATTTGTTTCCTAATTAGATAAGACATCCAACAAAATCGAGCAGAGGAAGACATAGAAGTCAAACACAAAAAGAAGATATAGCAAAAATCAGAGAACGACCAAGAAAACACGAAAAAAGACCTAACTAGCAAGGAGAAACATGAAACTGAAAATAAACATTAACCATTTCTATCACTGACAAAATCAAAATCGAGCGAGCAGTTTTTAACGAAACCACAGAATAATGTAATAAGCTTATTTGACAAAGACTATAACCAACCTAAAGACTAGTTCGTCATCATTCACCCACGAAACAAAAGTTAAACCCAAAAACCAACTAAAAGTTCCACTGAGAAAGCAAGCTAAAGGAATCCAACAGAGAAACAATACAAGCTAAAGGAATCCAATAGATAAACAAAACAAGAAAATCGAGAAGATTACCGTAGAAAGACGAAAAGCGGTGGAGTCAGAAGCAGAAGTGGTGGTGACACGCAATCGCCGTCGCGTAGAGAATGAGAAGAAATGTCCGCAACTCGTGAAACCCTATTTTTCGTCAGCCTCAAAAATGATGTCGTTTTGGATTCGAATTTCAAGTCTTTCAATACGATTTGTCGTTGATTTCAAATATGCCAATATTTCAATGTCCAAAATTGAAGAGAATATTCTACAGATTGTCATTGTCTCAATAACTAAATCGATTCAATTAAAAAGAGTATTTTTGGCGGATAATCATAAATTTATCTGATTGAAAATGCGCGGATCCTCTCTTACCCAATTCATGACCTGCGAATTTCATTAATAACATTTTTGTTATTTTACGAGAGTTTTCTTCAAATCCGAAACAAGACACACGGACCTTGAAGTTCAATTGTTTTTTACCTTAAAAATCAAACATCATTATATTAAGGGTTAATTAGCTCAATATTATGTCTTGAACAAGGAATTAGAAAACTAATATGTCCATAAAAAAATTTTGGTGAGTATCATAGAGAAAAAATACTTGGACAAATTTGCCCATATTAAATTTAGTAATTATTGCTGGTAATAAAGATTCATAAAAATAAATGGTGAATAATATGGAAAGCGAGGTTGGCGGTGGATCTCACTATATTCGATTTCTTTTATGATATTATAGTTAGCTATAATTCTAATACCGTAGTTAACTATTTGTTTCAGATGATAAAAGAAACTATGATTGTTGTGATGTTGGGTTAATAGGTTGTTTTAGAGACTGGTGTTCGGGATTTCAAACCTATACGACGAGTTTTTAAAATGTGGTTATTGTGTCCGTAAACAGTATAGTTAGCTATGTCATGAAAATTGTATATATATAATTAAGTATGTAACACATATAGTTAACTATCTCTTGTTAATGAATAATATAGTTAGCTATGTCATGAGTATTGTGTAAATATAATTAATTATGTAACACGTATAGCTAATTATTGATGTGCAGAGTTTTAATGATGCAATACGAGTTTTAAATTTATAACCCTCGGAAACTGCAAGTGCACAGTAAAGACAATTGTAGTACTTAGGG